AATTTAGTGATAGAAAACTTCTTGCGATTAAGAATTGACAATTTCTTTTTTATTCCGGCTTTCCTGCAATTCGTCATCATCACGTTAACATCACGCTTTCTTCGACATCACTCATCATTACACTGTATACCAGTTGATTATCGAGACGAAAACAATTATTATTGACCGTTTCGTCATCAGTGCATCATCGTACTTTTAGTAGAAAACATTCGAGTCGTAGCCTCGAGGTGCCACTATACCCATGGTACGAGCCTTCCCCTTTCCGAAATCACGTGCAGCCTGTCGTAAAGTACGTCTCTTCTTGCAATCACGTGTCGCTTGCAATTTCCGATCATACGGAATGATTCTTTGTGTTTGTTGAGTTTTTCCAGGCTCGCGTGATCTTCGTGGCCGAGGGTGGCTCGCCCTTTTCTGCTCCGCGGTCTCTGCGGTACCTTGCACAGAAAAGTTTCTAATTACGGTAATCTGGATTTAATCCTTTTCCGAGTTTGCATCAGAGTCCACAAATGACTCGATGGGGAAAACGATTAATCACTTGATACCACTGACTTTTCTCTTACATGTTTAAATATTCAGAATTGTCGTACATGTCGGACAATACATACTCTCGTATTGTATATTATCTTTTTCCAAAATTTATACTAGTAACTTTATTTTGTATTTTCTCTTGCATTTTCTGTACATACTTTCAATATCACTCATATTATAAATTAATTCTTATATTTCGCGCTTACATTTCTGTTGTAATTATAATATCGTATATATTTTTTAAGCAATACAATCCATCATACTTTCATTAAACTCTCGGCTACATTGAATCATTTTTAAACCTTTTTCGACCTAAAGATAATATATGTATAATAATAATGATTTTATATCTCTTCAGTCTGCCACGAGACGCGTTGGTCTCGCTTGCAGTAACTGTGAAACTACGATGACGTCGTTATGGCGTCGCAACTCACAGGGCGAACCAGTATGCAACGCCTGCGGTCTTTACTTCAAGCTGCACGGTGTCAACAGGCCATCGACTATGAAGAAAGACAGCATTCAAACGCGCAAGCGGAAACCTAAAGGTGGAATGAAAAGCAGCGATACGCCTCTTTCGGGCAATGTTGCGCAGTGCACGAACAACAATAATAATAATAACAACAACGTTAAGCTTGAACCAGGTATACATTTTTATTAATTACTCTCATCATTAAAAAAAATTAATTCAAATAAAGTACGCTCTCTCCTCCCTTTCTTTCTCTTTCCTATTTTGTTATATCGATATTGTGCGTCGTATTGAAATGAATTTTATAAAAATTATTTTGCTGTCTAGACACTTATAGCGATCTGAGAATGGCTCATACTGGCGTATCGCAAGTGACATATCCAAGTAGTCTCTATGGTACTCCTCAATCTTCGAGCAGAATAGTGCCCTATCAGCCCGTTTACTACGATATGATCGCTTCGCAGCAGCAGCAGCAACAGCAACAACAGCAACAACAGCATCAGTTGCTAGAAACTCATTCCCCTAAGATCGAATGCCCGTCTCCACCTTGTACTACACGCTCCCCAGGGATGATTTCGGCTGGTCAATCACCCGATCATCACCAGCTCACTTCACCGCATATCGTCACTCTAGGTAGTCCATCAACCAGTCCAGCCGGTTCTAAGATTATGTTGGACAATGGTCATCTTGAAAGATCTACGGTTGTGTCGATATCATCTTAAATGCACTCCAGAAAGCTATCGGTTTGTTGAGATAGACAATAACCAAAACATAAAAAATAGTTTAATAACAAAAACAATTGTCTGTCAAAGAAATGATCCGAATTTGATTAAATTCCTTTTTATTTTAAACAGTGAGACAAATATCTCGCTAGTCTTGCTTTCCTGCGCGTATTGTGATATGCAAAATTAAACGTTATATTTTAACGTTATCATTAACAAATGTTTGAAAGTATGAAAGCACTGTTGATATTGTAAATAAAAATTTTAGAGTTTTAGAATTTTTTAGGACATTAGTATACATTCTTCAAAAAATCATAGATCTTCTTTAAAAAAATGGAAATTTTATAGATTCTTTCTTTTAAAAAAAAGTAAGTTTCTTTGTTTATTCCTTTTTCTTGTTTATTCTTTTATTCAATTTCTTTCTCTTTTTTACCAAAGAAGATTTTACCAACGAATCTTGTATCGACATTAAGACCAAATTACCAATGATGTTGTATATATATATATATATATATATATATAGAGTA